CCCCAAAACCCCAAAACCCCAAAACCCCAAAACCCCAAAACCCCGAGAGATAGAATTTTTTAGGAAGTAAGTAAATAAGTGAGTGGCTGAATGAACTTCAATCGCAAAAATCTGCATTTAAATATTTATTTGCTTAGTGTAATGCAATTAATATAGGGATACCCTTATTATTAGACTATCCGAGATTAGATGAGCTACTTTATTATCATTGTTCTCCTTCTCCTCTACCAATCCATCTAATTCTTTTTCCTTCTTTCCATTCTCCAAATTTTTCCGCTCCTTAGGATGTAATGTACACACCTTTACCATGCTGTTTACCATTTAGCCAGTCACCTTTGTATGATCTGCCATCTGGCCAAATGAATTCTCCATAGCCTTGCTTTTTATCATCAATGTACTCACCTACATACTTACGACCATCAGCCCAAGCAAAGGTTCCTCTGCCATGCATTTTATTGTTTCTCCATTCACCTTCATATTTTCTACCATCGCTCCAAGTGTAGACACCTTTTCCATGGATATTATTGTTATAAAATTCTCCAATATACATGGATCCATCTGCCCATTTGAATGTACCGGTACCGTGTTTCTTTCCGTACTCGTAATTACCCTCATAACGAGCACCATCTGGCCATGTTTCCACACCAAATCCATGTTGCTTATCTTCTCTCCAGTCTCCAGTATATTTAGCACCATCCATGTGAATGTAAGTTCCTCGACCATGAGCTTTATCGTTAAGCCATTCTCCCTCATAGACATCACCATCTGAGTGAATTAGTCTACCCTTACCGTTAGCCATGTCATTTTTCCAATAGCCCTCATATTTAGAGCCATCCTTCCATATTTACAGGCCTCTCCCGTGTCTCAAGCCATCTTTTGTCCACTCACCGACATATATAGCACCGTTATCTAGTTCGTAAGGACCTCTTTCTATTAAATTCTTTGAGCTGGGTGAGGATGGCTGGTCATAGTCGAATTTTCCAAGTTTAGCTTCAGTTGCCTTAGTAGCTGGATTTGAGTAATCAGGCATTTCATTTAATTATCTTGCAATAGCAGCACCATTTCTCATGTCAGTTCTCCTAGACCCTCTTCCACTTCGAGCACTTGCTCTCGGGTTGTTTCTACTGGAATTATTATTTTTTTTCATATTTTTATATTCCTTTCTGGCCTTCATCCCCCTGAAACCGGCCTGAATCTTCAAGATCTAATCTGGATGCTTCTCGGCCTCATCCATTAAATCTTTCATCGCAGGATCAAGCTTTGAAGGCTGATTATCTTTAAACTACTTGTCATGCTTATCTTTATTATTTGCATCGTTGCAGCAGGCATTGCCCATTTTATAATCACTCTCAATTATTATAAAATATATTCTTCTTAATAGCTAGCGAGCTTAATTTTAACAAGAAATTTTGTTTTTTCCTAAATAAAACGTTTAATGTGCGAAATGGGGTTTTGGGGTTTTGGGGTTTTGGGGTTTTGGGG